TTTTTAGTTTAATAACTATATATAAATTAATTAAATAAATTTAAATTAATTAATTTTTACGATATAATTAATTGAGTTTCATACTAAGTTTAAATTATTTATTTTATTAATAATTATATACAAAATAACAAAAATAACAAAATTAAAGTAATTACTATATAATTATTTATAAATATATAAACTTTCAATTAATATGTATATATAAATTGATACCTAATTAATTAATAATGTAATATTTACAAAAATATTTCATACAATGTGTTTTCAAGGGAATTAATATTAACAGGAAAAAAAAAAAAAGAAGTTGAGAGTCGAATGTTGATTCTGAGAGTCGAATGTTGATTCTAAGAGTCGAATGTTGATGCTGAATGTTCATGCTGAGAGTCGAATGTTGACTCGGAGAGTCGAATGTTGATGTTGAGAGTCGAATGTTGATGCTGAGAGTCGAATGTTGATGCTAAGAGTCGAATGTTGACTTGAGATCCTATAGTCGGCTGGAGAGAATTGCAGCACACAGTAGGAGAAGGATTCGATTGGAGATGGCTTAGGATATCTCCAGCATGCAGGAGAATTGGAGCTAGCAAGGTGGATATCTGCAGCATGGGTGCAGAACACGTACGTACATGGAGATCAATGGCTGAGCTAGGATGGTGTAGCACGTAGGAGAAGGACGCGTCGAGAATTGCATAACACATGGAGATGGCTGAGGATATATTGTCCAGCATGCACATGGGAATGAGGTGGGCTGAGCGGACATGCATATGGAGATGGCTGGGATTGTGCAGCATAGGAGAGAAAAGGAGTTTGAGGCATCTACAACCCGCATGGAAAATGGGGGAGGAAAGGGGTATATAAAGAACTTTCAGCAACAAGAACTATGTTGCTGAAAGTCCATCCCACTATTACCATCATGCCCTATGTTGCTAAAAGATATTTAAATTTTAAATGTATACTCATCAGCAACGTACAACATGTTGCTAAAATTTAAAATTAATATTTTTTTCTCCACTACTCAATTATTAAAATTAATATATGTTAATTAATTTTTAATCTTAAAAAAAAATTTGATACCTAAAATTTATTTATTATTAAATTGTTATTAATCTATTAACTTTTATTTAATATTAATAAATTAATTAATATAATTAAAATTTTTATTAATATATAAAAATAATTTAAAACACTAATTTATTTA